CGTGGTCTAAATTGTCATCTTCACGGTCCAACACACGAAAGTAGGGTCGAAACTGACTGAAGTTGGAGTTATTTTCCATTTGTACGTCGTCTACGTTGTTCGTGTCCTTGAAAGCCAGGCGTCAAGCAAAAGAGTAGTTCGCAAATGATGTGCGTGTGTACAAGTCTTGCGTGTTCTGATATCTATCGAAAAACGCATTTGATTGACATTCAATTTCCTGAAATTGTTTTGATAGTGCGTAAGTACGCCGGTAAGAATGGTTGAACTCGACTTCAGTCGAAGTGCACTTCGGCTCTTTTGAACTCGATACGTTGCCACGGCCACAAAGTAGGCTACTTAAGTTGAAATTACACCCGTTCACATCTGAAGTAAGATTGAAGTATACTTAAGGTCTACTTACTAAGCTAGTATGAACCCACCTAAAAATTACTGAGTGTTCATTTTGCTAAGTAACACGTGATATTAAGTCAAGTTTTGGTCAAGAGTACGAATTATAGGCTCGATTATTATGAGCCTGAGCTCCTCCCCGGTAAAGACAGCTGTCTCTTCTGGACAAGGAACAAGACCGGACCCGAGAGAGCGGCGGAAACTAGCCTATTATTTTTTCTAGTTGTTTAGCAATCACGACATTTTGCCAGAATGAGGGTGCTGATGGGGGTACCCAATTCTCAGTTATCTACTCTTTTTTGGCCAAATATCAGTTAACTGCTAACCCCATTGGCACTCTCCAGAATGGCTTCTTTTATAAAGCTTTTCCATTCTCCCGTGGATCTGCTATTCTAAAACTGAACAGTCAGCTTTTCCCTAACTACTTTCTTGGGGGATTCCTCTCAATTCCCTCGGGTATAGGAAAATGACTCTAGAGATTATTCTTCTACCAGCATCAGTATACAACGATTTATAAAACTAGCTTACCCTTGGTGGCTAGTTCCCACAAAACAACTCCAAAAGACCATCTGCAATAAAAAGAAGCAGATAAATAAATAGCAAGAATTAAATTCATAGAAATATCAATTTTCTTCATCTCGCCCCATGGATGGTAAAAATTTTTGGCCGGAGTCATGGACTTTAGAATCCGGAATCCTGCTAACTATGAAATTCTGGAATCTGGGCCTCTTGAAATCTGGAATACACTGAGTTGGAATCCGGAATCTAGTATCTGGAATGCAGGATGTGGAGTGTGGAATCTGGGATCCAAGATGATCTCAGATTAACTTCATCGGTTCAAAGTTTTCAAGTTTCACTCCTGGAACAGGCTAATGTTCTCCAAACACTTGAGTATTTCTTTAGAGATAGAGTGATAACCGCAACTATAGACAGCGTCATGATCAAAATTGTGCTCTTTTTTCCAGACAGTTCTAAACAGTACATTGCAGGGTCTGTGTTATCTAAAACCTCATCGTCACACTGCATCATGATCACAGGAAGCCCAAGTCCCAAGCTTGGCCTAACTGTCACCTCATTAACATATACTTACACGTCAGTCTTGAAAGTAAAAATGCTGCTTTCCAACGCTTCAGGTGCCATCCATTTCATTGGTAGCTTGTTTACGCTCGTAACTTCGTATATCTCACTCTCATTTGCGTGGCGTAATAAACCAAAATCAGCAATCTTCACCGCTCTGTCCTCACCAAGTAGGATATTACGGGCTGCCAGATCACGATGAATGAATCCTTTGCTGGCCAAGTATTCCTGGCAGAGAAATAACGAAAGTTAATTCTCAAACAATTTTTAGTTACCGTTACCTTTAGATCAACACAAATTTCCATTTGATTGGTCAATATTAAATTAAAGTGGAAGCTCGATTTTACAATATGGCAGGGGGATAGCAGTTTAATCGGGATATCGTTGTAAACGAACTCCCGATTTAACGATTTGGCAGAAAAGTCACCAAGTGCAATGAAACGTCGGTTCCAGGCTCAAAGACAGCTCGCCACCGCCCCCTTTTTCCTAGATCACGTGTTTATATTTTTCCGGTGGCTTACGCTTACGCAACATTCCCACTATCGAGAGCCTGGAAAAGGCTACTGGAAGCTGTCCCAGGCAAACGGTCCGGAAAGCGGAAGGAAGTGATAGTCAGTCTATTAATGAAGAATGGAGGGAGAATTTCCGTCACAGAGTGTTGGAAAACGAAGAAACAAATAAGGGAATTGGCCAAGAAATCCCCGCAACGTATACTTTTCAGTACAAAAAACCGTCAAAGTTGAACAAGCTAAGTGAACTACAGTCGACTCCCGATAACTCGAACCCTTGCTAACTCGAATCCTGTGTAAACTCGAACCAAAATCGATTTCCCCTGGATTTCCTTCTTACATTTACTGTAATTTTACCCTCGGTAACTCGAACCCTCGATAACTCAAAACTCCCGCTGACTCGAAGTAATTTTTGTTTCCCTTCAGAACACTTCCATACAATTTTACCCTCTATAACTCGAAGGGATGAATATTGGCTGAAAAACAATGTTTTTAAGTTTTCAACCCCGGAAGAAAGCCCGTTGCTGTTTTTCAGGGCGACTTGGGGTGAGTGGACTAAAGCCCTCCTTAGACTGCCACGCCCGAAAAAGAAAAAAAAAACCCTATTGGTTCTTACTATACTGCTGATTTCTATTTCGAAGTCACCCAAAACGCACACCTTAGTGAACATTATTCATTTAGAGATTAGATTTTTTCGTTAAAAATGTTCATTCAGACAAATGAATAAACAGCAATTATTAGATGAGGCAGAGTTATGTGGATCACCGGGAGGGTGTTATTTGCGAAACCAAAAAGCCATATATACAGCTGAGCCACCAGATATATCAAATGAGCTTACAATAGTTAGCAATTACCATCATGGTGGCCGTTTACGAAAAGCAATCCTTTCAGCCATCAGTTCCACTTGCAGACCGTTTACTGTGATTTCCAAAATTCTGATTACTGGCCATGGAGTATTTATCTAGTCCTTGCTGCTCATCCAGTCCCCCCCCCCCCAAAAAAAAAAATTAACCATTGCTTTTTCTTTCGTCTACTTCCTTTCTTTTGTTTCCCTCTACTTTCTGCTTTCTATTTTCTGTTATGGCGTGAATGTTAAGCTTGTAAGACGCCAATAAAACAACTAATGGTTAAGTCTTATTCCTGTCATATGGCTGTATTCATTAGACACCTTTTCGAAAATACAAACAGACCTGATTAAATTTCAATAGGTACCTTCACAAACGGCTCCATGTGATTTTTTAGGTTTCTAGGCCTTTTTAAAATTGAAATCAAACGGCTCAAATTTACATGTGTTATATGTTTCACTAGAAATTCAGTAAGATAGTAGTTAGCCCTATTATGGTCTGTTATAATTAACGCAGCAATTTGAATGCTTGAAAAATCTGCCGTCTCATGACCGGATAGCATATACTTACAGACACAGAGAAACTAGTGGTAATTAAAAGCATAAATATAAAAAGGGGACGAGAAAGATTTTTGTGATTTGCAAACGATGACTACTATATTGCTAAATACATTTCAGTCGTAAAATTTCTTACCATCCCTTTAACAATCTGCCACGCATAACATAAAACTTCTTTCCCAAAAGTGTCCTCTTCGTCATCTTCCTTGCCCTCACAACTGTCTTCTTTTTTCTCGACGGTGATCTTTACTTCGGCGTTTCTTAAACTTTCAGTAGGAGTGAGCTCTTTTTCTTTGGAGAAATGGGCAATATTGATCGAAGGTAACACCATCACCGACGTAGCCGACCCCTTTTGTCCTTCATTTTGTTGAGATGACGTGTTGACATCGTCACTTTCTTCTTCCTCCTTGTCATCTTCGTAACCCAGGTTTGAGCAAGAAGGTTCCATCTCAGATTGAGGCGCATCGTTGATTAGAACTCCTCTTTCATCGTCGTCCAGGTCGACTTTAATTTCCTTCGTCTCGCTGGAATGATAACCACCGTCTCTTCCAGTTTCTTCATTATTTCTTTCGCTGTTTTCCTCTTTCAGGTTTTCATCCAGGACATCTTTTGTTTTCAGGTTCTTGGATACTAATTTCGGCCTCTCAGGAACAGGAGGCTTAAGCCTTTCAACGACATCACTTTGTCGACTCTTTTTCATTGTAAGCTGCAAAAAAATATTGATGAAATGAATTCCGTCTGAAACGGTTTTGTCAGCAAAAACAATTTCAACACCATCAGTTGGTTAGCCGAAGTATTTTTACCCGTTCCAAAGGAATCTTTAAGAATTGAAAGATTACTGTGCAGACGTTCAAAAACTCATTAATAATTCATAACCCATTGACCTATCAAATGGTCTATAATACATCACGTTCAGTGACATTATATCTGATAAAGCCTTCCCTTATTAGTATGAGGTGTTTTATCAGATATAATGTCACTGCACTGGCCTATAAAAATTAATTATCTGCACATCAACTGACACAAAAAATGGTGGCTGAATATTCAATGTTCTTTCAAATTACGAGCAGCTCCTACACAACTGAAAATAAGCTACGCAGGAAATTTACTATTGTGCAAATTAAACTTTGTTCTTTCACCAGTTTAATCACTCAGGCCACTTAAGGCAAGACTACCTAATTAAATATGCATATTTTAGTAAATGCTATCTAGAACGGAATTTGCTTCCATCAGTGCTCCTGAAAAGTGAACTACAAATGTGTCTCAACGAAAAAACACGTGAAACGTGATTCAAATAACACGTAACATCGCTTCGTCAATGACGTAACAAAACACGTTTTCCTAAACGGGGAAGGGTTGCGAACCTTACTCTTGGGAATTTTCACTACCAAAATGTTACATAAACAGTGTAAATCGGAAATTCATCTTTTATGATTGGGAATGTTATTTATCCTCTTAGCTATTTAACTAATTAATAAGTCACGTGACCCTTTTCCCCTTTATTTACCGATTCCTATATAACGTAAACACACATACAAGGCGAATTTATAAGAACCTTTTTAATAGCCTCTGAAATGTACCTAAAAGAGCTTGTTGCTCTTTCATTATCCTTTCCCCATTTTAGAGTAACTATTTTGACCGTTAACTCTCAATTATCAGTCACTTGACGAAAATTGAGCTTCTAAAATGCACTCATATCAATTGCTAAGGCCATTAAGCTACATTTGTAGTTCAATTTTCAGGGTCATTGATAGAAGTAAACCGTTCTAAATAGCGTTTTATCAAAATATGCATATTTAATTGGATAGTCATGCCTTAAGTGGCCTGAACAGCCAAAAGAGCAGTGACTCAGCGGTAATATTGGCTATAGCAGTGTCCAAGCATTGCACTCAAGACTTCACTTTCGGAATAACAAGGCTCGAGTAATGATTTTTGTTTACCTGCCTATTGGGCCATTCCAGAATTAAAGTTTTTCGAAGACTACTTTTTCACTGCACTTGATGACTTTGGAGTACCATTTTCGATTAACTTCCTCTCTTCTTCGGCATTCTTAGGCTTCCGAAAAGGTCTGGAACAAGACGCCGTGTCCTCTTCGATTAGTGTCGTTTGTAGATTCGAAAATTTCTAAACACGTGCGACTTCTCACATAGGGTAAAATGTTGGCTTAGGGGAGGGATAGGTGGGCAGTTTCCCAGAAAACTAAACTGATTCCATCTCCTTACGGGGTCAGGCTTGACCTACTAACACTGTTGAACACAAAGTTTTGACAATGTGTATTTACCGAACCTTGTTTTCCGAATATATGAATAGGACCTAAACAGAAGAATGTCTGACTGTATAAACCGCGTTTGGAAAAATACAAATATCCGGTTTCATTAATATCTACATTTCTAAGCGCAGCTCTGTCTTTGAGAGTGACTAATTTGCAATATGTGCCTGACTTCTGCCATTTTTATTATTTTCATGACAAAAGTCAGACAAACTTGACATTTCAGTGACAAAAAGACGAACAAAATTGAGGAATTTTGTTTGTCTGAGTTTCAGTTCTATAAATAATACCTGTGAGAGCGCTATTCCGAATGGAGAGCAGGGATTTTTTAAGCAAAAGGCAAAAAAGAGGGCGGCAAATTTTTATTGATACAGCTGATAAAGTAATGATACCTGTCGCCTTTTGTTTCTGAGCCACTGAAGAAGATCTCCGTTTGGAACATATTCCATGATTAACATAATGGGAGGTGATTGGATCCAGTAGCCGAGCATGCTCACGATATTACGGTGTGTTCCGACTTCCTTCATCAGCTCAATTTCCCGAACTAACTGCCGTTTGTCCTCCTCCGTGGAATTTTCTGAAAAAAAAAAGAAGAAGACATTTAAAGAAAATCCAGTAACCGTGACCTACGTAAATGCTACACGATATCAGTTAGTACTAAACAACTAAAACCAGATACAAAGAAAAAAAGACCTAATTAAAATAAAAGTTCAAAATGTTGAGTTTGATCGTCCGGGTGAACGTAGTCCTGAAAAGGACTGTCTTTGTTGACAGTGACTGACGTTTGGACAACCTGTGCGGTAGTCATCTTAAGAGTCAAAGTGAGTTGTATCACGTTACGTGATACAACTCACTTTGACTCTGAAGATGACTGTTATTAATAAGAATCACTCCCGTGAAAAGCGTTTGCTGAAAGATGTTATTAATAAGAATCACTCCCGTGAATAGCGTTTGCTGAAAGAGTAAGTTATCTATTTGCCATATTCTGCATTCACGCACCAGGTAGAACTTTTGTAGCAACAATACATCCCTCATGCGAATCCAGACTGTGATCCTTGGGTTTGGAGGATGTATTCTTTTCAGGTAACCCTCTCGTCACGCTCTTATAAACTCTTCCAAAAGCACCTCGTCCCAGTTCCTCCATGATAGTAACCCGCTCGTGTGGGACTTCCAGCAACATCAACTCAGCAGTGTCAGACTCACTGGATCTAAAGAAAATAGTGCAAATTAAATGTTAATGAATTTCGTCGTCATTAATCATGGGCTTGTGGTAATGCTTAAATCAGAGATGGCTTCCTGGTTTACACAAGGTGACAAATGTTACATCGCCTTGGTCACACTGACCAGCGCGACTTGACTGAGAGAGACAGACACTTATTTCCGCATGCATATAATTATCATAATACAAAGTATTCATAAAGAAATACCGTGCATTCCTCTTTGCTCTCTTACGGTAGACAATTATCCCCACCACCAAAGCAGAAAGAGCCACGGAAACTCCCAACACCATCCAGAGTATGGGAACTCCTGTAGGAGTCACTGAGGGATACAAACAATTGTAAATGTAAAGAGCTGTTGACATATAAACGTGGTCGGCATAAGGTTCCTTTACTTATAAACGGAAAAAGTTTCCTAGTAACTATTTCTCTTTTACCACTCGTTATAGTTTACAGGCCTCTATATTCTGCTAAACATGCTTTGACTACATCCACATTTTTTTTTTGACTGAGCCGTTTACCGTTTACCTCGAGTCTCTGGTCATGTCAAGTGAGCCCTTGATAATTTTGGGCGATTTTGATATCGGTATGGACTTACTACCTGTCGGATATACTGGAGTCGATGAGTCTCACGCAGCATGTTTGTCTACCACGCATGAACTTGGTCACGGACTTGATTACCACTCGTACTGATCTGATAACATCATTGCTGCTTGCCCTTGTATTGGTGAGTTATTCTCCGACCATTTTCCAGTCTTCAATCAAATAAGATCTAATAGACCTCAAGCTAATGTCATGCATGTGCAGTTCAGGAAAATGAAATCAATTGACCCTAACCAATTTTCTGAGGCCATTCCGCTTCTTCTCAGCTTAATCATGATCCACCTAGCGACTTAGACTCTCTAGTCAGCTGTTATAATGAGTCGTTATGATCTCAACTGGATATGTATGCACCTGTCTTACCTCGTGACATAAATGTCAGGCCTCTTGCTGCGTGGTTCAATGAAGATATTAGGAATGCCAAACGCTTGACACGAAATGCTGAAAAGACGTGGAGAGCTACAAGATTACCTGTTGATCTTGCTGCTTTTACGAAGGAAAGAAATCGTGTGGTAAATTTGATGAATGAGGCACGCCTTGTTTACTATAATCAGTTTATCGAAGATAACAGCACAGACCAGAGGAGGCTTTTCGTGGCAAGTAAGAGTTTATTGGATATGAAGAAAGATCGATCTCTTCCACACATTCTGTTTCACCTCTTGCAAACAATATGGGTCAGTTTTTTTATTGCCAAGATTACCAATATCAGGTCAAAGCTGAACGGCATTCTTGCTGTCAACGCCGAGCTCAACCTGGAATCTGAATCTGGTGATATTGTATTTTCCCAGAGTTCCACTGCCAAGCCTGACTGAGACAGTTCGTCATGTGATTACATCTGGAAAAAACAAATCTTGCATCTTCATGTTTAGACTCACTCCTTCCTGCCATTACTAATATGGTCAACCTCTCCTTGCAGAATGGATATTTTGCTGAAACCTGGAAAACTGATGTGGTATACCCATCATAAAAAAGCCCGGCCTCGATCTACTGTTCAGGAATTTTCGTCTAATAAGCAACTTGCAGTTTGTGTCTAAATTGACAGAGCGAGTGGTGGCCTCTCAGATTCAGTGTCACATGATTACAAATAATCTCTTCCCTTAATTGCAATCTGATTATCGCTCCCATCACAGTCCGGAGACTGCATTGTTCAAGGTAACGAATGATCTTCTCCTGAATATGCACAAGGGCAATGTATCACTCTTACTACTGCTGGATTTAAGTGCCGCCTTCGACACCGCTGACAATGGGATTTTACCACAATCGCTTCAAATAATACTAGGTGTCTGTGGTACTGCTCTTTCCTGGTTCAAATCGTACTTGGAAGGAGACGCTCTCGCAGCCGTTTGACTTAAAATGGGGTGTCCCTCAAGGTTCTTGTGTCCGACCGCTTTTGTTTACTATTTATACTCAAGATTTGTTCTCTAAATGCTAGTGCTCGCTTAATTTACTGCGCCCCAAAGTCGTGCCCTATCACGCCTCTGCTTCGCGAGCTACACTGGTTACCTTTTTTGCTACTGTTTTAAATACAAAATTTTACCGTGACCGGCAAAATTTTTGCATGGCAAAGGCGTGGCTGCATGGATGCGTAGTTACTCAGCTGGAAAAAGAGGGAAAATAGGTAACTAATAGCAATTACCAGTAACTTCTAGTAACTACTAGCGACTACCAGTAACTTCTAGTAACTACCAGCAACTACCTTTAACTACTAGTAACTACAAGTAACTACCAGTAACTACTAGCAACTACCTTTAACTACTCGTAACTACCAGTAACTACTAGAAACTACTACTAACTACAAGCAACTACCAGTAACTATTAGTAACCACTAGTAACTACCAGTAACTACAAGTAACTACTAGTAAAGTAGCAACTACCAGTAACCACTAGCAACTACCAGTAACTACTAGTAACTACAGGTAACTACAGGTAACTACAGGTAACTACTACTAACTACTAGTTACTACTACTGACTATCAGTGAGAAGACACAATACTACATATCACACAGAGTGTATATTACTGGTGCACTTGTGGCTTTATAGCAACCAGATATTGCGAACATGGATTTACGAGTCATGTTATTACTCACTTTGCTTGGAAATATTACAGCTCGACAGTTCTGTGTGAACAGCGCAAAAATATAGAACATTCGACCGGTACCGTGTTAACGTAACCTTAAAGGGGAAGCAAACATTACCAGTTGACCGCTTTTGCAATTGATTGTGATTTTCTGATAGAAACCTTTCTTAAAAGCTTTTTGACCTCTTTCGCTGAAAGTGGTTTGGATATAAGAAAATGTTAAATACTATAGAACAATTTTGTTACGTTCAAATTCATACTCGAGGCACATCAATGAATAATACATTTCTTTTATTTTATTCCCCAAGGTATGACTTTTGATATATTGAAACTGGTCTCTTTTTGCCAGCTTCACCGTCAATTTGCCAAATGTAGAAATGCAGGCCAATTGAGATGGCCATGAACATACAGCGTCGTGACAGGCTATTTATTACAGATGAACAGTCGCGTACAGTTTAAAAGTTACAGAATGATAAACTTCCAGTAAGCGGAGGCTATAATCTGTACATTTTTGTTATTGAACATCAAAGGGCTTTGTTGTGGTAAATTTCCGTCTTGATCTGTTTTACTGCCCACTTGGCTTATGAGGGAGCTGAAAGGGGGTGTCTACTTTCCTAGAGGTCTACCCCTAGCAGAGAGGGTCCACAATAGCTTTGGCGGGATGCGGGATTTGGCTGTTTTTTGTGGTGATACTCGAGATGCGAGCTAAAAAAAGGAGCGGGAAGCGGGAATTTTGATAATGAGTGGGAGTGGGATTTCCTATTTTAATTGGGTTGGGATGAGGGAGTCGTAAGGGAAAAGTAGCGGGATACGGGAATTAAGTTTTGTTGCGACCACATTTTGACTTCTTTGTGTACACCGCCCATGTACTAGGAACTACTAGTCGCCAAGGAAATGAAGCCTGTCAGTTTTATCCATTGTCACTTTTGCGTGTTTTTGTCTTATTTCGGTACTTGGTAACTGACGGTGTGCGCGAACGGTCGATGGAAAGGTCTGGAGTGAGGCCAAAAAACGAATTAGACTAGGGAGAGGCGCGAAAAATACGCGGTTAATTTTATACAGTCTTCGCCTGCACTTCGCACCTTTTAAAACCGATTGTGAGAAAAGAGGACTGTTTTGCAAACTCTTGCAGGTCACACGCACCTACTTTTGAGCGGATTTAAAAATGGAAGAAAGTAAAGAGATTTTAAACAGGAATGAGTACACTTTAGCAGTACAAAAGAGGAAGAAATCGAGGACCAAGCGCAAGAAGGGTGGAAAAGTACACTTTCTGCATGGGGGTTGTCTACAATTGCTTGTGCTGTTCGATTCAATAGGAGGTTTGGGTTTCCATAAAAGAGAACATTTTATCAATCTGTCCAACCAGTGTGTTCATACACACTTTCCATGACCCGTTGTCAGCGTAGACAGTTGGCTTCATCGCCTAATGCAACCTAGCAGTAACTCAATCGAAACATCCATCTACCCAACTCAACTGACTGTTTCCAAATTGCCAGAACTCAGATCGAAGTAAACCTTCTTTTCTGTACTGATGCGCTCCCCCCAAAGTAAAAATAAGCAAAACAGAAAATAAAGTTACAGTCGTTAATGGTTTAGCCTGGGACCGGGCTCCGCATTGGCGGAAAAGGGAAAAAAAAATTGATCCCGTTTTTTGCCTTTTTTCCCCACTACGGAGCCTGATCCCAGGCTATTAATGGTTAAGTCAAGAGCCTTAAACATCAAAGCTCCCTATTGCAAGAAAGCAGGTCTTAAACATTGTATAACGTTTTAATATTTCAATAATGAAAACGGGAAACTTGTAAAAAAAATAGGGCGGGATCTAGTCTGCTACGCAGCGGTTTTTAGGGTGGTCACACCAAACTTTGTGGCTGTGTAGCAGACTAGGCGGGATAGGGATTCGGACGTAAAAACAGGCGGGATCGCGGAATTAAGAAGAAAAAACTAGCGGGAAGGCGGGATTTCAGAACCCGGCTATTGTGGACCCAAAGTAGAGGTTCAACTGGATATGGTTTGGTGTCAATACCAAAACCTATCAGCTATTATCAAACATACATGAGGTAATGTCGCACCTGTAGAGCGAGTTTTAAATTTCCAAGAAACTGACCAGTCGCTTTGAACTTCTCCAAACCAGGAAGACACACCAATTTCATACCCCTTGTCGCATTTCAGAGATAAAAGATAAAAGGTGGTTGAAGGAACCTTATGTTCTGTCCATTCAGCTTCAATGCCTAGTGGCTTTATCTCCCTAAACCGTACAGTGGTCATCGTTACCGTGCATACGTTCCTACTCCAAGTTACATTGACTTTGCAACCATGTATTTCCGACTCTTTGTTGTTTATCACGGGTGTAATTGGTTTGCCTTTAAATAATGAGAATAATACTGCGATTACTTAGTGATTTCCACTGATGTATTTGCAGTGATAGATGAATGTAGAAAGGTACACCACTAAACCTACAAAACTGTCTAACAACTACAAAAACTGAAACCTGAATTAACGATCAGCACGCTGACGCCATCATAAGTAATCCAGCTAATTATGCGCATGCGTTGAGTGCTGTAAAAAGAGTTCTTGATTATCTTGATTAATTCCTGCGGGACCTAAGTCCCATGAATGTGACAATAAGCAGACAAAAAATTTAGTTCGTTACGTAAATTTACCTGTAATTCTGCTCTCGGGCTAAAATAAGTGCTAACATGATTTTGAGCTGTAAAACTAGCCAAAAGTGCAAACTATTACAATAGTAAAATTGCTAAAAATTATGACGAATTACGCCAAAATTAAACATTATGCTGGCACAATCTTTAAAAGCCTAAAATCAGGACCACAAAAAGAACATTCAATTTTTTAACATCCAACTGACCTCTATTAAGGATCGAAGAATACGATTTATCCTTGGATAGATATGCTACTCTCACCTTTACTCAGGTCAGAGACCTACTTCGCAGATAAAGCTATTCCAGTCACATAAAGATCCATGACTGCTCCAGCAAACACCCCATTTGCCATTGGCATCTGGACCAAACCTGGAGCATTCCCTATTATGTACTCTGGCTGATAACGACCTAACGATGAGAAGAAATGCTCATTCCATTGGTCTACCAATGCCTCCTCCGTACCATTAACGAACACCTTGATCTTATGCTGCTGACAGGTTACTGCTACGTGATTCCAGGAATTGATTTGTAAGTGGAAAGTGTTGTGTATCGATAAAATGAGTCTAGAATTCTTGACTGTAACGTAAAATAGTTTTCCACTCTGTGACCAAAGTGCCAGTATAGGCCCGTCAACACCAATATACTTTACCCAAAATGTAATTGTTAAGTCACAGGTTCTTATGTTAATGTTGGGCACAGTAGCATAGGAACCATTCTGACTGAAAGTCGCCGCTTTGCTTCCAGGACAGCAGCCTTCAGTACGGTTAACGGTACCAAAATACCTGTAAGATCACAAAAACCAGTGAATAGAATCTAGCTGTGAATAAAAAGAATTACCTGTCATAGGAACATGCAAGCCACTATTTTACCCTCGAATATAATCCTACGTTATGAGACAAAAATTTAACCGGTCAACGCTGAGTATAATTAATACCACCTGCAGCAGTCAGAAATGCAAATGCATAAGTTTAAAGCAGTGCTGGATGTGGTGGATGTCATATGAAATGGTCGATCTGAAATTTTATTTAAGAGTTAGAAAAAAGTAAGAATCCAAGAAGAGGTTCTCGCGCAAAATCGGTTGGAAAAAAAAACCGACATCCGAAAATAGGGGTAAGGTATAAGAATCCAACGCCACTTCCTTTCCCGCCCACTCCCGCCCCCAACATTAATTGAACAAACTAGATATGTATAACCGCTACTAACCTTACATCTGAATCACTACCGTCTAGAAACCAGCGGCCGTATGCGGGGTTTCCTAACAAAACAAACACGGGGGCCTGCTTAGGATTCGTTCCATTAAAGTTATTTTGGGATACGAATACGAAAATCGTGTGTAATCTTTATCTTTTTCTTATTGTTTTCACTGTTACTTTGAATGCTTCGGGGAGCATAAAACGGAATAATTACAACGACAAGAATAATGACAGACGTTGTCGGTTATTAATAACAAAAAAGGCAAGGAGAGGGACAAAAAAGCAAAAGGTTTGTATTGGCAGAACAACAACTTTGCACGTGCTGCATCCCGGGGGGGGGGGGGGGGGGGGAGAGTACTCCGGATCTGGATTGACAGGGATGATCGAAAGATTTGGGGGTTTTTTTGGGTAGGAGAATTTTGGCAAGTTTTTTTTTTTGGGTAGCTGAATTTCAGTACGGATTTTTTTGGGTGTTATATCATTTAATGCTATCTGGAAATGTTTTGGAGAGGGGGTGGGGGTTAAATGTAGGCCCAGTTGTTTTTTTTGGCGGGGAGGAGTGGTTGTTTTAAGCCCAGGGGAGTCTTAGGTTTCCATTTTTACCCCCATTCGATCACCCCTGTCACTTGAAATCCGGAGTACCCCCCCATGGGGTGCAGCACCCTTTTTTTTACAGTTCTCTAGAATGTAACTAAAACAAGAAACGAGCACGAGGAACGGGAACAAAACCTAACTTCAACCCTAGCCCTCTCAGTAACTTGGTTTCAAAATTTCGGTTTTCTTCGCACTTTTCATTTTCCCATCCCCATTTGCTCGTTCCCTGCTCTCTGTTCCCCGTTTAGTAACATCCCAGTGCGTTACCGTCACGTGCGTCCAAGGCGTAAAACTGCCAAATTTTACGTGTTATGGAGGACTTAAACACATGACAACAATTTTCTTTTTCTTAATATCGAAACTGCTGTTTATCAAGGAAAAAGGAAAATGATAATGATAATTTTTGTCCTTCAGATATTGCTTTAGAATGTCTTCTACAAAAGAAAAATAAAACAAATAAACAAAATAAAACGAAACAAAACGTAACAAAATTAACCAAAAAATAATAATATATCTCCTGCCAACAATGTTCAAAAATAATAATAATTTATCTCCTGTCAACAATGTTGATCATTGCTTTTTCCATTTCGCCATCTTTGTAACATCTTTGAAAACAGAACGATTGATTTTGTAAAGTTTATTACAGAGTAATCCCGAATGTTTTCCTGCTTTAGGATAAGTCCTATCAAACACACTATTAGTACTTAGGCGCTAGAGGGCGGGGGAGGAGAGCTATACTAAGCTGGGCGACAATCGGGTATTCACGAAATATAGACGGACGAGTCAAAGTCTAAAACAGCGATTGTGTCACATCAGTTTTGTCCTCCTCGCTTAGTTTTGCCAGTTGGGGGAAGGTGAGGGGGTGGGAGGAGGGGGGTTGGTTGGGTTGGGGCCGGATGGGTGTCAAAGTAATCGGGCTGACTTTGATCATTAATAACTTTGAAGCGAATAAACAAAATTTACCAACCCAGAAGTTTTTCTTAACTTTAACAGGATTAATAGTCTAATGTATATTATAAATCATTTCCTGTTAAGGCTGACTACGCTACAACCTCTTTCCCAATGATAAAAAAAAAAACCCAAAAAACGCTTCTTAAAAGCTTCTTCACCTTTTTCAGTGAAAATAGCTTAGATAAAATAAATTGTTAAATTTTTGCTGGCTTCGTCGCTAATTTGCCAACTGCAGGCCCAAAAGTCAAGATGGCCATGAAAAATGTATAAATACAAGGTCTTGACAGACTAATTAGAGGCGAACGATTACTTTCCCAAAGGCGGTGGCTAATCTGTTTATGTTTATTGTTGTTATTAAAACATCAAAGGATTTCTCGTGATAAATTTCCGTCTTGATTTGTTTTGTTGTCCACGTTGCTTCTGAGGGAGCTGGAAGGGGTATCCGCTTCCCCACAAAGAGGTGACAGCTCCGCTTATGGACCCTGGCAGAGTTTGCCGCACTAGATATAGTTTAGTATCAATACCAAACCCCTATCAGCTATTGGACATACAGTTTACATGAGGTAACGTCTCACCTGCAAAGGTAGTTTTAAATTTCCGAGAGACTGACCACTCGCTTTGAACTTCTCCAAACCAAGAAGATACTGCAATTTCATATCTCTTGTCGCATTCCAGATATAGGAGATAATAGGTGGTTGAAGAAACATTATATTCTGTCCATTCTGCCTCATCGCCTTGAGGTTTTATCTCCCTGAAGCGTACAGTGGTCTTCGTTATGGTGCATAGCTCTTTTCTTCTCCACGTTACATTGACTTTGCAACCATGTATTTCCGACTCTTCCTTGTTTAGCACGGGTGTAATTGGTTTGCCTTTAAATAATGAGAATATTACCACGATTAATTATCCATTTCCACGCATAACGTTAACAAATTAAGTTTGCGTTTTCTAAAAGTTCCAAGCTGCCCTTAATTGTCAAGCAAAGACTGTAAAAGAACAATATACGTATTTTAACATCCAACAGACCTCTATTGAGGATGTGAGACCGCAGTAGAAGAATACGACTTACCCTTGAGTATATACTACTCGCACCTTTACTCAGCTCAGAAACCTGCTTCGCAGATAAAGCTATTCCAGTCACATAAAGATCCATGACTGCTCCAACAAACACACCATTCGCCATTGGCATCTGAACTAAACCCGGATTATTCCCTATGATGTACTCTGACTGGTAACGGCCTAACGATGAGAAGAAATGCTCATTCCATTGGTCTACCAATGCCTCCTCCGTACCATTAACGAACACCTTGATCTTATGCTGCTGACAGGTTACTGCTACGTGATTCCAGGAATTGATTTGTAAGTGGAAAGTGTTGTGTATCGATAAAATGAGTCTAGAATTCTTGACTGTAACGTAAAATAGTTTTCCACTCTGTGACCAAAGTGCCAGTATAGGCCCGTCAACACCAATATACTTTACCCAAAATGCAATTGTAAAGTCACAGGTTCTTATGTTAATGTTGGGCACAGTAGCATAGGAACCATTCTGACTGAAAGTCGCCGCTTTGCTTCCAGGACAGCAGCCTTCAGTACGGTTAACGGTACCAAAATACCTGTAAGATCACAAAAACCAGTGAATAGAATCTAGCTGTGAATAAAAAGAATTACCTGTCATAGGAACATGCAAGCCACTATTTTACCCTCGAATATAATCCTACGTTATGAGACAAAAATTTAACCGGTCAACGCTGAGTATAATTAATACCACCTGCAGCAGTCAGAAATGCAAATGCATAAGTTTAAAGCAGTGCTGGATGTGGTGGATGTCATATGAAATGGTCGATCTGAAATTTTATTTGAGAGTTAGAAAAAAGTAAGAATCCAAGAAGAGGTTCTCGCGCAAAATCGGTTGGAAAAAAAAACCGACATCCGAAAATAGGGGTAAGGTATAAGAATCCAACGCCACTTCCTTTCCCGCCCACTCCCGCCCCCAACATTAATTGAACAAACTAGATATGTATAACCGCTACTAACCTTACATCTGAATCACAACCGTCTAGAAACCAGCGGCCGTATGCGGGGTTTCCTAACAAAACAAACACGGGGGCCTGCTTAGGATTCGTTCCATTAAAGTTATTTTGGGATACGAATACGTATATCGTGTGTAATCTTTATCTTTTTCTTATTGTTTTCACTGTTACTTTGAATGCTTCGGGGAGCATAAAACGGAATAATTACAACAACAAGAATAATGACAGACGTTGTCGGTTATTAATAACAAAAAAGGCAAGGAGAGGGACTAAAAAGCAAAAGGTTTGTATTGGCAGAACAACAACTTTGCACGTGCTGCATCCCGGGGGGGGGGGGAGTACTCCGGATCTGGATTGACAGGGATGATCGAAAGATTTCGGGGTTTTTTTGGGTAGGAGAATTTTGGCAAGTATTTTTTTGGGTAGCTGAATGGTGGGGGTTAAATGTAGGCCCAGTTGTTTTTTTTTGCGGGGAGGAGTGGTTGTTTTAAGCCCAGGGGAGTCTTAGGTTTCCATTTTTACCCCCATTCGATCACCCCTGTCACTTGAAATCCGGAGTACTATTTTTTGAAAAAGGATAACAACAGAAAGCCATGAATTTAGTTTAGAGTGTTGCTGAAAAGAAAAATCTCCAACTCAAATGGCAGGCTCTGAACTCATCAACTCCAGAATCTTAGCCAAAACATTGTTAAGCCTCGCACTTTATCAAAAAACAACTTTGTTAAAATATTAAAATGGGCTGATAACTAAAATATCATTCATAATTTTGAAAATTTGAAATTTGAAAACTATTTCAAATTTTAAACTTTGTTAGCACTTTGTTTAGAACTTTGTTTAAAGTTCTCATGATTTGATTTTCACATGGAGGATAAAAGATGTAAACCTGACTGTGATAGGTGAGATCAGACATGCAATCTACATTTAATGGCTTATACAGCCAGCATCAGTAATTGACAGTCTTACTGATTGACTACTTGACTGGCTAACTGACTGGCTCAGTGACTGTCTGACTGTCTGACTGATGTTCTGACTGAATGACTGGCTAGCTGACCAACTCATTTACTGGATAATTGACTGACCTGGATAATTGACTGACTGACTAACTGAGACTAACTGACTGGCTGGCTGACTGACTGACTGATTTGTTGACTGACTGACTGAATGACTGTCTAACAGACAGACTGGGTGACTTACTGGCTGGCTGACTAACAGACTGACTGGTTGACTAACTGGCTGACTGACTGACGGACTCTCTGTTTGACTGACTTGCTGACTGACTGACTGCATAGCTGACTCGCTGACTGAGGGGACAAAAATTTATACAGGCTGAATGGTTTGTTGCAAGAAAAAAAATGACTGGTTGGCAGGATAGTGACTCTACTGTCTGAGCCGGGGCTAATGGGATGACGCAGTGACTGAATGATTTAGAGCTGACTGTTTGACTGTGAACTTAGGACTTTCTAAGCTACCAGTAAATCATAAGTTACCCCCCTTTCGATCCAATATGGCAACTATATGTAAAACCAATATTTCTGTAATCTAGGATGGCTAGTTTTCTAACTACATGATCATTAAATATTACTTGATGGCCCATTTTGTCCAAGAAACAAACAAAGAGGAAATTTCCAAATTTTGACCAATATGGCAACTATTTAAAATTGATTTTTTTTTTATCGTCTAGGAGGGCTTGTTTTTTAACTAGGTGATCATCAGACATTATTTTTAGACCTGATATGTCCAAAAACAATCAAATGAAAAATTTCTATTTTTGGACCAAACTCATGGGTTATAAAAAAAACCAACATGGCGACTATGTAAAATGAATATTTTTTTAGTCTAGCAATACCTTTTTTTACTACATGATCATCAGAACATTATTTTCAGGCCTTATATTTCCAAAAACGAACGGAGAAAATTTTCAACTTTTGACCAAAACATGGGTTAGCCCATTTGAAAAAATCCTTATATGGCCACTATGTACAACCAGTATATTTTTAGTCTAGGAGGGCTTGATTGCTAACTAGATGATCAACAAATATTATTTAAAGGGCAATTTTCGTCCAAAAACAAACAAAGAGGAAATTTTCAATTTTTGACAAAAATCATGGGTTAACCCCTTCAAAAAATCTCGGTATGGCAGCTTTTTAAAATCACAAATCTTGGCCTAGGAGGTTCTTGTTTTCCAACTAAATGATCATTTAACATTAATTTTATTCAGGTCCATTTTGTCCAAAGGCAAAAAGGAAATTTCCAATTTTTGACTAAAATCTTGGGCTTACCCCTTTTATTTAAAATAGATTTTTTTTATCATCTAGGAGGGCTTGTTTTTTAACTAGATGATCATCAGACATTATTTCTAGGCCTAACATGTCCAAAAACAAAAAAATGAAAAATTTCCAGGTTTGGATTAAACTCATGGGTTAACCACTTAAAAAAAAACAATATGGTGACTATATATATACCTGGTTTTTTGAAAACCGGGCTACTAAAAAATGTCAGTCTCTCGCACTCATTGTTAATTTGATGGCCCTTGTTACTTGAAAAGTAAAATCTCACCTCAAAAAGAAATTATTGAATACATGAGCCTCCATTTGATAGAATCGTCTATCTTGAAGGTAACAAAAGTGACGTTTCCCTCATTAATCTGGAAAATAAGGCATTTTAAGAAGCAATGTTTAGTGTCGGTGTCACCGATTGCAAAGCCAATTCCCCAGTTCACCCCATTTTTAATTGACGCTGGTCTCCCAAAAACAATCTAAGCCAACACTGCTCAACAAAACCAAGTCCTAAAACCAGCAGTTCAACTGCTTGCTGACTAGGAACATTCTGAACAGAGTGGGTCATTGCTTACATGCAAAAAGCACAAACAAACTGCATAAGAGTGCAAAAACACATCAAACTTTACAACAACCCCACTCCCCTGCAATTTAACCAGGCTACCCCAAATGCATACCAGACGATAGCCCCATGTCTGTGCAACAACATGGCACCCGGCCAGACACAACCCCCCCTTAATTTGAGGGAGACATTGAGCTTTGAAAGACAGGGGTAGCCCTGGTACAAAAACTCAGCGAATCCGCACTCTAGCACAAAGCATAGTCTTTATAACAACCCCACCCCCCTGGAATTTAACCAGGCTACCCCAAATGCATACCACATGATAGCCCTGTGTCTGTGCAACAACATGACAGCCAGCCAGACACAACCCCCCCTTAATTTGAGGGAGACATTGAGCTTTGAAAGACAGGGGTAAGCCCAGGTACAAAGACTCAGCAAATCTGCACTCTAGCACAAAGCATAGTCTTTACAACAACCCCACCCCCCTGGAATTTAACCAGGCTACCCCAAATGCATACCATATGATAGCCCTGTGTCTGTGCAACAACATGACAGCCAGCCAGACACAACCCCTCCTTAATTTGAGGGAGACATTGAGCTTTGAAAGACAGGGGTAAGCCCAGGTACAAAGACTCAGCAAATCTGCACTCTAGCACAAAGCATAGTCTTTACAACAACCCCACCCCCCTGGAATTTAACCAGGCTACCCCAAATGCATACCACATGATAGCCCTGTGTCTGTGCAACAACATGAGACTTAGTTTGACGGAAGCCCCCCTCAAAATATATTAGCTGGGCCAACGGGGGCAACAGCCCGTCCCTACGGGACGGGCTGTTTCCCCCCTCGTGCAAATTTTCTGGAATTTGCACTGATTTCTGTCAATTCCAGGAAGTTATTTGGAGCCCATGGTTAAGAGGTGAGGGTGGTTAGTCCTGAAGAGCGAGATTGTTATTTTTACACTAAAAGTATCAGGGCTTTAAGCGAATTAAGTTTTGAAAGATTGCCTGCAATGTGCTGGACTTGACTTAAGATTTCAGGCAACCCGGTTTTCAAAACTCCAGGTAGATATCTCCAATTATTGACCTTTCTGCATCTTAACTGTCAATTCCTACTAACATTTTTATTTTTTACAGTGAAAGAGGCATTTGGATGGTGAATCCCTGGAGATAATATATGTAAAATGAATATTTTTTATAGTCTAGGAAGGCGTTTTTGTACTAAATGGTCATCAAACATTATTTCAAGGCATATTCTGTCCAGAAACAAACAAAGAGAACCTTTCCATTTTTTTTACCGAAATCATTGGTTAACCCCTTTAAAATGATCCAATATGGCAACTGTGTAAAATCAATAATTTTATAGTATTGAAAGGCTTGTTTTCTAACTAGATGATTATCAAATGTTATTTCATAGCTTATTTTGCCCAAAAACAAACAAAGAGGAAATTTCCAGTTTTTGACCAAAATCATGGGTTAACCCCGTGAAAAAAAGCCTAATATGGCCTCTGTGTTAAACCAATATTTTTTTTAGCTTAGGAGGGCTTGTTTTCTAACTAGATGATCAACAAACATTATTTAAAGGCCAATTTTTGTCCAAAAACAAACAAAGATAACATTTTCATTTTTTTGGCAAAAATCCTGGGATAACCCTTTGAAAATATCCCAGTATCGATATATTTACAGTCCAAGAGTGCTTTTTTATCTGACAGATGATCAATTTTCCTCATTTCTTGCTGATTCCATGTCA